AAATGGAAAGTGTGGAGGCAGCCGCGGGGAACAGAATGAGGGAGGCTTCTGCGCCTGCATCGCTCTGTTTCCCTCCCTTCCCCTCAGCTTCTCTCACCTCTCCTGGCCATCCTGGCTCCCAGCACAAACCAACATGTGCGGCCAGGAGGCAGCAGCTCCAGAGGCAGAACAGCTGCTCTGGTTGAAGAAGTGCAAGGCCTCCTCCGTCAGGGGCCACCTCCCATGGAAATAGGTGAGGAGGGTCAAAGGGCCTCTTTGGCCAGCAAGGAGACCAACCTAAGATAGACATGGGGCCAGACTGCCCCATCTGCTGCTCAAGAAAAGACTGTGGGATGCCAGATATCTGAGCTCCCATCCCACTGGATTCTGCCCAGGGCAAAGTCCCTGTCATCCCACCCTGTCATCTCCATTACAACCTCTTCCATAGGAGCAAGAGCTCTGTTTTCAGTATTTTGCAAAGGTTTATTTAAAAATGTTGAAACTAACATCCCACAAGAATTGAATATTTCACCACAAGGAGAAATCCTACAAAAATATATATAACAGCGCACAAGGGCAGGGAAGGGGGAAAAGCAAGACTGAGCAGGGAAGCAGGAGGGAGGACAGAGGGGATGACGGGAGCCAGGGCAGAACGAGACCAAACGGCAAAAGGGAGAACGGCAAAAGAGAGGAGTGGGGAGAGTGAAACAGCAGGAGGGGAGACATAATTGGGAGGGAGACCATGGTACAGGACAGGAATGGGAAGCAGGAAAACAGTGGCAGACGGAAAACAAGAGGAAAAAAAGGAGTAGAGAGCCAGCAATCAATGAAGGAAGGGGGCCCCCCTCTATGATCTTGCCAAGTTAGGGCCATGACTACAGTGAGACATCAGGGGGGGTGCTGTCTGGGAGCTGGAGTTTAGCTCAGGGCTTTTGTGCTGCAGGACTCGGCTCTAAGGCTGTGCCAGAACAGTCTGAAGGTGATTGTGTTTAAGAATTTGTGGGCTATGAACAAACCACTCCTCTCCAAGCATTTTTCCTTATCAGGAAAGGGAGTGGGGAACGAAGGGACCAGATTTGCAAGGGCACTTAGGTGCCATTGAGGAAGAGGTAGATAGCCCTCTCTGAAGCCGTGGGGTTCTTGGCTGAATGTGAGTCCCTGTAAACTGGACCAGGGGAGCGCTGTGGAAGCACAAACCGGAGATTTGGTCCCTGCCTGCCAGTCACAACCAACCAAATGGGAAAGCCCAAGCAGGCTTTGTGCTCATGCCACTCTGCTGTGTAAAAAGAGGGAGATGCCAGTTCCTGCCCTGAAACAATATAGGTCAGAGAGGAGAGGTACTCCTCGAAACCTTCTCTGCTTCCCACTGCACTCACAGAGAGACCACCCTTACATTAACAAAGCCATGGCCCTCCCGGAGCTCAGCACAGACATGATGCCTTCAACTCGCCCAGCCCACCTGAATGTTCCCTTTTAATTGCACAGAAATGTTGGGCAGGCTCAGGCCAAGGCTATGAACAATCCCCGCACACCTGTAAAAATTTCCACTGGAAAAAAAAGAATCTAGATCTTTCTCCTCCAGTCACCTAGAAGAAAGGGAAACCTGAAGAGCTGTGACTGAGAAGGTGCTGGCCTCTGCCCTGGCTTGGTACTTGGTGCTGTCAATCCATCCGTGTGCACATCTCACAAAATATTAGCCTGGGCCAGGGAACAAACTGCAGGCACAGTCTGGCTCCAGTCTGCGTAAGGGAAGATGGTTTATAAGGCTCCAGCCATGGAGAAAACAGATCCAGTGAGATTATTTATTGACTGGAAGAAGCTTGCGTGTCCACTCGTGCTTTAAATGTTTTGTTCCAGGGACAAAATGTATCAATGAAAATTTGGGCAGGGCTATGAAGCTGTTTCCCATGTCTCACCTGTTTTGTGCAAGAGTGAATGACTGTCATAAAAACATATTTAGCTAGAAAAATTGGTCTTGGAAAAGATATTCAGCATATCCAAGCTTCTGTCATTGTGGGAGTTTTCTCTCCTGCATTCCTCAGCTTCCCCCTTACCACAGCATCCATGAAAGGCTTCATTTCCTGGAGATACTTTTAACAAAAACAGAGACACATTAAAGGGGGAAGAAGCAACCAAAACACTGAAATCCAGTTTGTCTGTAGAGTTTACAAATCCTGCCTGGGAGAGCGCAGGGCTTCTGCTCATCAAGTATAGGAAAATGTTTTCACCCTGCCTCCTGCCACTTTCTTAGACCTTGACTCCACGTAGCGTGCGGAAAGGAAAAGTCCAAGGACACCCCTTGAAGTGGTAGAGTCTAAACTCTGGCCTTGTTTCAACAAGCGCTATTGATCAAAGAGCAATCTAATTAATCTGGTCTGGAAGATTACTTAAACCAGTTCAAGGCATTATATTGTAAAGTGCCGGCAATAAACAGCGCAGCCTCTTGCAGGCTGTGTGCAGATGTCCTTCCCCAGCTCTGATGTGCCAGAGAAAGGGGGAACAGCCCTGGGCTGCCCTCGGCTGGCAGGGGCTGTGGGGAGCAGGGCAAGGGGCAGGAACAGTCATATCTGTCCCCTTCTCTCTCCCATCCATCTGCAATTTGAATATCCACCCAAGCCTTGAATGCAGCCTGAGTAAGGAAAAGGCTTGGTAATAGATCAATCCAGGGTAAAGCAATAATATCCTCTGCTGTAAGTAGGGACTCAACCTGTGCTTAGAGTAGAGACCTCCAGAGTCCTTTTCCACCTACATCTTTCAGCCATTCTGTGCTTTTAATAAGCTGGTAATTTTATTTGACCTGTCATTTTCTCCAAATCTCTGCTGTTTTTTGTGAAGCTTATTGCAATTTACACTCTTATTTAAATTTCCTTCACAGTGAATCAAATGCAACCCGAGATCACCCAATAGTTCAGCTGGGTAAATGGGCAGAACCAGGCCTCTTACGAAACTCCCTGTGCTTTGTCCTATAAAGAATAGGATTTTACTGCAGAGATAAAAGATAAAAGAGCCATTTCCTTTGCTCCAGGATGATTTTTGTTAGAGACCTTGTACAGTGCGTTAGGGCCTTCAAATTATGGGCGAGCTTCCTGTCTCTAGCCACATCAGTCTGGTAGCTGAAGGTATTTGTACAGTGTAGGGGCAACCTTACCTAAATATGCATCATTCTAGCTCAGTGCCTGTCAGCGTGGGATCTGGAATTACACTGAAGGTGTCCACAAAAGCTAAGAGAGAACAACTATTGTCATTAGGCTGAAATTTGCCGTTTCACACTTCCTCAAAGTGACACCCACAGGTCCATACATGGGAAAAGGTTGAGACACACTGATCTTGCTCACACAAGTAACTGGCAATGTAGCTGCCTGCCCTACAGACCCAAAGTACATGCTCAAGCAACCAGTTTGCACCGATACCTGTGCCGTTGGTTTCGGTCCCCAACCAGCTGGAGCAATACACTTATGAAGGCTGGCACCCCAGATATCTCCACTCTCACACCCTTGGTAAGCTTTGCCTCATGGGTCTCCAGTCGCCTTGTGTTCCTACCAGCAGTGCATGGCAACCCTCCAGATGTTCCCAAGGTCAGCTCCAAATTGCTTTTTGTCATCCCAGGCACACCGAGTCATGTCTGCTGCGTGTTGCCCGTGGCACGAGTGTCTGAAAGCAATTGCCTACTTCAGTCCAGCAGACCTCAAATTCCTCATGCCCAGCTATATCTGCACGCCATGCTTTAGCTGCTTCAGCAGCATCCGACTGTACAGGACATTTGCTAAATAATATGATGGGCAGAGGGCTTTGTGTCAGATTTTCTGAAGAACATCACTATAGATTGATGGTCTTCAGAAGAACCTTGCTGAAGAAGACTGAGAAGGTGAAGGGGGACAGCAAGGAGGCTTCTGAGAGATCAAAGCACTTGGAAAGCTGAAGGAACCTTTCCCAACTTTCACTGGCAAGAGAAGTGGCAGGGGGAGGCACTGAGAGAAAAAAAAATTGAGGTGGAGAGATGAAGAAAGATAGAAGCTGAAGAGAAAAAATGGAGGAGTGTTAGGCAGAAAGAAAATGGAACGACGTGAATATCTTCCTTCTAGTGGGGAGGTAATTTTTCCTTCAAGGAAATGGGTTGCTGAGGGGGCTCAGGTGCTGTGTGAGCCTCTTCTGCCCAAGCTTCACCCACCCTTAGGGCCCTCAGGAGAGCCAAGGCCTTAGGAACAGAAGAACCTGCCGCCACTTGAGTCCTGGCTCAGGGGACACCGAGCCCTGGCAGACAATCCTGCAGCCACTGAAGTCCAGACGTTCACTTCAAAGCACACGACACAGGAGGGAACACACAGAGGGGCTAGGGCCCACAGGGACAGGGGTACACCTTTCCATCTCGCCTACCCCCAATGTCAGGCATGCATTGGTGAGAGAGTCATGGAGATCCAAATGTGTGTGTGTCTGCATGTGTGCTAGGAGAGGAGCTGGGGAGGCCGAGATTTCACACCGCCACCAGCTGCCTTCCTTCCCACCATCCTGCTCTCTCATCACCCTGTCCTGCGTGGGTGGGGGGGTGAGGAGGGGGTCCCCAACCTTTCCCCAGCAGGAGGCTAAGGAGGCCCAGCTCATCCATTTCCCCAGGGACATCCTGATGAAGTTAGTTAATAATGGTGGTGGCGGGCCGTGGCACAAGGAGGTTGTTTTTTCTCAGGGTAGCGGAGGCGGCGGGAGTCTGCACTCGCCGGCTGTGATAGGAGGGGGGGGGGGGCCAGATCTGGTTC